CCTCTACTTCCATCAGAATGTTATATTCTTACGAGGACCGAACAATAATAAAAACAATCAAATATTCAGTTCGAACAGAGTTATCGTGCGTTCTTGCAGAAAATGTATGAAAAGAACAAATGTTATGATTCGTCATAGCATTTGCCAATTCTCGATCAGAAATCTATTAATTTATTTATACGCGTAATAAAAACGATTGCGATAATCAGAAAAATCAGTCTTCATATTTTCTTTCACGTCTTTTTTATTGAATTACTCTTACCATTCTCTATTCGATCCAGGGGTCCAAAACAGTTAAGATATCAGTTCCAGTTCGTGAAACAATTATCGAGAATTGAAAATATACCATAACTGTTATTAGATATAGCGGTTTTGTTTTTTAGTTCTTCGGAATCGATCTTATATCGATTATATAACTGTTATTTTTCAATTCTGCATTTCGGTTAACTTTTTCAACCTCTGATTCGATCCATCGTGCAAAACAGCGCATGTAAATTTACATGGAATATCCAATGGTATCCCGCATTCTCTTAGCTCGATGCAAATGGTATTAAATGAGCTAGAAAGCATTCGTTCATTCTCGTAAACGGTGCTGTACAGCTGAAGCGTTTGCACAATTAAGTACAATTTATATTCGAACATTGGTTTATCACGTTTGAGAATAGAAATAAATTATACACGTTGCACACTATTCTCGTTATCCCAAAAACATTGAACGTCATTTATTTTTTACCATCTTCCAATCACCATGTAACAATTAAATAGTATATGCACATTACATATAGTAACGTTCTTTTTGGTTTTCACAATCGATCTCTCACCGCGGGAAACGCGGAACGTCGTTAGTAATCAAAGCTACATCGATGGAATACATAAAAATTTTAATATGAATGATTAATATACCCGTTCAGAATGAATCTTCGGCTTCGTCGGTGTCCATGAAAGGTAGCCTCTCGTAACGCAGGACGCTGCCCATCCCGAGTGACTTAAACTGCTAAAGCGCCAGATTCTTGATTTCATTCTCGCTCATCTGATTCTGGGACGCTGAGGGTGTAGCCTCGACGAGTACTTCGCCTTCGCCCTCGGCCTCCTGCTTGTCGGTACAGTAACGGCAACGCATTTTCGCGTCGTCGCCGACCTGCACCGATCGCGATATGATCACGAGCGTTGTTAAGCTGATGACGAACAGGCTCGATGGCACGATGATCGCGATCAGCAATTCCGTTCGTGTCTTGTTCAGGTCGAATCGTGCCACGACGAAGAACGAATTATTCTGAAACAGATAGGGAGTGGTTCGACGAGGCTGTTAGAAGCTGCACGGCAAACAGCGGAACCACGTCGAGTCAACAGCCAAACACCGTGTAATCGATGTCTTGTGACTATGCATAATTTCACGAGCTCATTTCAATTATTACACACTATACGTATCAAAAAGGGAGTTTCTATTACGGCGTCAAGCGAACATGTTCGCATAGACTGGTTGAAAATCGTCCTGACCTGATAACAGATTCGTGCGTGAAACGTACAGCGGGGCGATGAATAAAATATAAGTTCGTGAACCACTTTACTTCATCAAAAATTCTGCAAGTGCATACACATATGTAACATTTCTGATGAAACATTTGCACAGCGTAATCCCAAGTACGATGTCAGTTAAATTATTTGAAACCGTGCCGTGCCGCGTTAACGCGACAGTGAAAGGAAAAAGAAGAATTAAACAAGAACACGCCCTCGAGGACTCTGACAATTTAATTCGCAGAAGTAAAAGTCGGCGAATCGCATCGTTGTATTGCCGCGACACTTTTTACGGAATAAATTCCCTGGACGTTTAATTAAAAGAACTTAACAACAGTTCGTTTCAATATCGCGCCGATTTACTTTCATCGAAATAAGTAATAAATATAGTGTTTGACGTGAATACAACGATATTTCAATCGATTTATTTTTTAAACGAAATAACAACTACATAATTAAATAACAAACATGCTTTTTATTTACCTCCGTCAGTCATTTTTATCAAAACAAGGAAATTCAATAAACATAGGCAGACGTTTATAGAAGCAGCATACAAGGAACATTTTCTGAACAAACATTATTTTTTATTAGTTGCTTATATTAAATGATACTTCAAATTCAATCAGTTTAATTTCACCTTATTTTATCTATTCAAGGAAAACTCACTTCAATACTCCGAGCTATTATATAACAGAACTTTACTCCTGGGAAGTTCCGTTCCGATTGATGCTGATTCGCTCGAAGTTTGTAGAAATTAAAACACATCCGCACAGTACGGACAGTCTAATTGAATTGGAAAACGGAAAGCATGGTGTGCTGTTTTCCTAATGAAATTATACTACGGCTGCCTTGCAATTAGCTTGGAAGAACTTCTCCCGCAGTTTTTACAGAATTTTCATATAAAATATCAAAGATATTTAAGATTGTTCTGACTATAAGTTAAAATGGTGACACGTGTTTGAAATTTTCCACAACAACAACTAATTATATTAACTAATGAGTGCTTAAGAGATAGAGTGACACTAAAAATTCTTGTTACATGACTTTAGTAATTATTTCGCTGTATTGCAATTAAAATATATCTAGTAACGTGAATAACCACATAGTAAAATCAGGTAGCCGTCCCGACCGTGAGTCGCGAGGAATTCTTTGCACTCTCCCTTCAAGGTATTGACGCAACCTTCGAGATTGATATAAAGACGTGAACTATTGTAGATCGTGAGCGATCGTTGCGCTGGCACGTAGGCGTTCGTTGGATCAATCGGATATTGCAAACTCTTCTCATATATTTTCAAAAAGCTCGTAAAGTTGATAGACGGTTCCGGCACCGGAATATCCTTTAACAAAGTACCGTTCACGCAATCCTGCGTTCTGCAAAAGGGAAGCCAAAACATGATTTTTCAAACGACCACACGAATATTTCTTTGCATATTTTATCTCTTATGTCGTCATTTGAGAACGCACGAAATATCGCTATAGTTTACTAAACCAGTGTACATAGTATTATATAAGCATTTATTCTTCATAAAATCTAATTTAATTATAGTTATAAAACTAACTATAAAATAGTTATGAAACTGAGAATCATAAATCAATGAATTTTACATCTGTTACTAGACTTTTTAATCTATGTACATTATGTCTTCAAAACAAGTTGTTTACAAAAGAAGACTCATGCTATCTTCCTCCTATAAAATCTTCTTGCGTAAACACATTTCGTATGAAATTCCATTATCCGCGTCCATAAACCCATTTTCGTATTCTTTAATGGAAGCAATAATATGAACGTACCAAACGCCTCATTATCATAGAAAAAAATTTTATAACTGTAAAAATGGAATGTGGAAAAGTTTAAATTTCAAAGACTTATGTGAAATGAAAGTCCTCAATTCGTTATTTAAATATAATGTTTTGCTACATTTTATATGACAGTTCAATGGACAATGACCATCAATCAATAAATACGTACCTTATAATATCCCTTTGTCTGTTGACTACTAAACAGCTGGCAACGATTGTTTTGTTTTGCTCGTCCCAAATTTTGACAGACGTAGTTAGCCGTTCCCCGGGAAGATTTCCGTTAGCTTTGTTCAGCGTAAAACCACTTTTGCATTTCGCAGCGATTACGTTGTTGTCTTGCATGAGGAACACGTTAACGTTATGCGTGGTGATCTTAGGACAATAACGATCGCAGCTGAACGGACTTTTGATTTTCGTGCATTTCGTAGAATTATGACAGCTGAAGAACCCGTTCAGTTTCATGTTGTCCTTCTCCGTGTCCACGACAATGCCGTCGGCCTTGTAATGGCATAGCATCAGCTCGCTTATATTGGCACAGTGACCAAGACTGCAGTTAAACACCCCCGAAAGCGCGCTGCACTCGCTACCATTGTTGCAATTGAACTTTTTCAGAGATTTCACATTTACCTAGAAGTACAAATTGAACAGTGATTTTTAGTGTACATATTGGTTGTAACAATCTTTATGAGATATAGTGAGGTTTTCATCGAAGTTTTCTGTAAATACATAAAATTCGTTGTCTACTGATCAGCTAGTCAATTTAGAGAGAAACTTGGCTGGAAAGATGGTTGGTTGTTCAATCAGAACGTGTCAAAGTCACGCAACGCATTTATCCTTAATTTCGAAGAAGCTCCCAGGGGAATAGTTTATTATTTTTCCACTGGGGTTAGTTGTCGTAGGTATAAATTTTGTGCGATTGTCTTCTATTCCCAGAATCAATTTCATTACCCTTTGTCACGTTCGAGACGAGTTTCCGTGAGTGGATGGTACAAATTCCACGTTACGTGGAAAAGTAGACCTTATACCAATGCAAAGAAATGAACACATAATGAGACGAACAAACATTTAATATATTCATTCCTTTTTAAAGCAGCTTTCAAACGTGATACATCTGATTCTCGTATTACATGGTAAACGCTTTTCTTAATATGGTAAAATACGAGTAAAAGGAAATCGTGTAAAAAAATTATTTTTTTGCTACCTTTAAACAGAAGTTTTACCAACAGGTCACTTGCAAAGAAATCCAAAATTGCTATCTTTATTTCCAAATGAATAGATATTTTTTCTTTTTTCTGATTTTCTTTACTCATCATTGAGATAATATTCCTTGTACGTTTCATATTAATACTCGAATACTTGACCAATTTTCAAATTCATGAGAAGAGTGAGAAAAATCGTTTTAATGAAATTGTGTTAATGGAAATTACGTAACTTCAAAATCGTATAAAAAAATCCTTTGGAACAGGATTCAGATCTGTTTATCAATTTGTTGAGTTAAAGAATTACTTTTTGCAAAAATCATAGCGAATCATTGAGATAATATTCCTTGTACGTTTCATATTAATACTCGAATACTTGACCAATTTTCAAATTCATGAGAAGAGTGAGAAAAATCGTTTTAATGAAATTGTGTTAATGGAAATTACGTAACTTCAAAATCGTATAAAAAAATCCTTTGGAACAGGATTCAGATCTGTTTATCAATTTGTTGAGTTAAAGAATTACTTTTTGCAAAAATCATAGCGAATGTACGAGAGGTAATTGTAAATCACAATGCGTGAAACTAAAGCCAATCGATTGAATATGTGGCAGGCGAATAGGACACGCCATTAGAAAATAATTGAAGACGTCGAACTCAACCAGAGACGTTACGCAGTAGGTGCGAGGTTTTGAGTACATCGAAGTAACCGATTCTCGGAGTATGATAATTACATTAGCATATCTCAGTATCTAGCATTGCTTGCGTTTCTTGTCTGTATTTGGTTCTCGTAGAAAACTCCTCGTTCGCGGAAACAGCGATAGGAATACATGTGACACGTCCGCAATTCTGAAGTAAGTGTGTTTCGACTCTGTATAATAATATAACTCTCTCTCCCTCTCTGTATAACTTCGTCCATACTACCTTTCCTCATCCTTTCTCTGCTCCTCAGAGATGGCTTTCCGAGAAAGCACTGCGCGAGTAAGGAATCAGTTACATCTACCCGTGTGCAATAATTCTTTTATCAGCTCTCGCGCTCGCCTATCTCAGCGGAAGTACTGACCATAAAATGACAGTATTAAATCTTGAGCGCCCGACCCTTTTCCCTCAGATACTTTCGTCGGAGTAATTGGAAGTTTCTTGGCTAACTTTGTTAGTTCAATATTCGTTGAGCCACTTGTAGCTGTGTTAATTAAATGGAATGAAAAGCTCAGTCGTATTTTTATTTTTATCAGAAAGATGAAGATTCTGATGAATGATGCTTTAGAGCGAACAGCACCAGTGAACAGATCTATTTATTAATTACTTTTCAGAAGAAATATGATACTCTGATACACATACAAGGTGTCCCAGAATGTACTATTTTCCCGTGTGGGTGTCAAAGAGGATGAAATTTTAAGTAAAACTAGGCGCCTATCGGAAGATTTATATCATGCTTATTTTAAATATTGGAAAGAGTAGAGCATGTTTCAAGTCTGTGTACATCAGTTCGTGAATACGACATACCATTCATAAATTTTTTATTTCCGTTCCATCACTTCCATAACATTCATTGTGTAACAGCAAACGTCGTTCTAGAGATATTAGTGTTTCATGAGAAGATAAGGACAGTCTAAGAAACTAAATTAAGAAATAATTGTTGACAAAAAGTACATATAAAATTTTTATTCGCGTGAGGAATTTTTGCCTGAAAATATTTCGTGGCGTTACCAGTGTTGGCAGAGTGAATTAGAGAGGAGCGTGTGAGCACGTCGTAAAATGTGTCTGACTACATACGATCTCGTTCTACTTGCGATCTATTTCACACGGGTTTATGTAAGAACGTGTTGCAATCTATTCAATGTATCTTACTAAAACGTCTACCAATTTTCTCTTTCACATAAAACAGAAGTTTTTTTTGGAAAAAAGAAAATATCATATCAACTCATATCAAAAGTATTTTTTATGGATATGCAAAATAAATAATGATAACACATATGTATTGTGTTTCACCACATATTTGTTGAAAAAACCAATCCATACAACATCTTTCAAATAAAATTTACGACGTACCTGTGGACAAGATATACTGCCAAATTTCGTGCAGTTCTCGAAAACAATGTCGGTCCCATTTCTTCTGACAGTTGCGTGAATCTGAGGGCAAAATCCGCTTGTTTTCGTCAAGCACCATTCCCCGCAACTCGCCCAACCACAATTATTAGTTGAGGCGGTATCAACGGTTTGGCACATGACCGGATCCGGATCGATTCCCGCGTGAAAGGCTCTGGGAATTAATTCCATCGGTTTCATTAATATCTTACCGGCCTGGGGTCCGACATCTGAACGACGTGACAGTATTCCGTTCTAAGGCAATTCAATAAATGTGGTTCACACGTTAAACGCCGTGCCAATTTTACTGAGCTTTCCGTTCACGCGCTGCGTCGGGTTTCGGTCACTCGACAAATATTGAGTTACATAGTATAATTGTATAAAACATGTATCTTAGTGACGATTTTATTTCACTTTCCGATTGGACTATGGTAATGCGCAGCAAAAAGATGTGGACGTAAGACAGCCAGAAATTTGATCAAGAAAGTCGTCACTTTCTGTAATACATGTGAAGTCAAAGCATATCTTTGCTTAGAATGTTTTAGTAAATTCATTAAAACTACATCATTTATTTTTTAACTTTGATACTGCCAGTTCCTGAGACCGACTTCGGCAAAACGAGAAGTTCACTGTCAGTTTCAAAGGACCGACGCCGCCTGAACGAAAAGTTCACTATCGGTCCCAAAGGACCGACGCCGCGCTTAACGTGTTAATATTACATTGATATTGACCGGGACCAGTTTACCTCCCCTATCAAGCGATCAAATGATATTTACTTGAAAAATGAACGGAATATAGAAATGCGCATAAATAATAACATCAGAAAGTAGAACACTCGGATCTTAATGATTCATAATGATTATGAAAAAACGTTCGTAATGCAAAAATTCAATTTCAACTGTTATTCGTTGTCTCGAGGATCCTGTGAGTATCCAAGATCATAGAGTTCTTAGTACTTATAAATTCTAAGTACACCGATCTATGATTACATTCATTACGCTACTATCAGATAACGAATCTTACAAATTGCAGCGACCTTCGCTAAATTGCATACATGTGACGGAGCTACTATATTACAGAGAAAAATATAAGTGACCTTTTACATTTGATAGTGGTAGAAACAAACGGAAGGTTGTTTGAAAATGAAGTCATAAATGCAGGAGACATAGATCTCTGAAAAAATTAAGGCCAACAGGACGATAATTTAATTATTATCGGCCTTGATCAATTAATCGATGCACCTTGTCGTTTACCTGTGGGACGGCATGTAGATCGCCACGCTCAGATAGACCAACGCCACGCAGCTGATGACAAAAGTGAATTGACAGAGGCAAATGATGCCACATATTCGCCAATTCTGTTCCGGTATCAGGCGACGCTTTTGCTTCCGTTCCATCGCGAGTAGCAACTAACCGGCTGACCCTGATTTTTCCTTTGATACTCTACTTCAACAATAATTTCTGTATGGATTGATCTAACATTAAGTGCCTTCTCGTCGACCGCTTGAAATCTAACGATTTCCCGGCTCACTTCGTTTCACCAATGGCAACTTTATTTGTCATCAGAGAGAATATTTCAATTAAAGATTATCGGTTTTTGCACGCGCTAATTTTCTGTAAAGTAAATACGTTCAATTAACGTAGTTTCGATGAACACAAGTGTTTAATTAAATAAAATACATCCACGGCCGTTCTAAGATATTCGGCGCCCGTGGGCTACTAAAAATAATGCGCCCTTCTTTATAGAAAAATTCACAGGATGGCTAGTGGGAGCGGGGTGACCGGCAGAGTTATACAAAAGTGTCAGAACTAGAAAAAGTGAATTTATCACCATTACGCTAAACAAAAACACAAAATTCTAAGAACACACATATTTATTACCAAACTCCAAAATATATAATATTTTCTATTTCATTTAGAACAGATTATTTGGTTGTTGTTATCATGAAAAGATTTTGAATAAAAATGACTAATAATAACAACAAATATAGCCGACAAGAATTGCCACCCCTAAAAGGCTTCCGCCCCGGGACTATAGCCCATTTAGCCAAGTGGTTAGGGTTGCCCTGAATACAGTGTATCAGTCGAGTAAAAATTTGTTAGGTCATTAATTTAAAGTGTCATTGCATGTCTCTGATAATTTCGTAGACAGATTGTTTAAAGTGATAAACGAAAGAGAATCGTGCGATCTGCTTCAAATGAAACAAAACGAATAATTGATTACACATGAACAAAATAAATATTAAACGAGGATGAATCCTTTAAGGATACAGTTTAATTCATGATTCTCAGTGGCCACGTACTTTAAGGAGGTCGCCCACGGCGTTGAATTTTGCAAGCCCAAGCATGTAACACAACAGGTGTCTCGGTCGCTTACCGGACAAGTATTGTACAGATATTCTTCTCGAGGATACGAGGCGCGTTTCATCGATTCCCGCCCTGCTACAGAAACTACATGGGGAAACGTTTACTGTCTAAAAGATATTTCATTGACAATGGATTTGCTGGCCCAAGGAATTTCCTTAATATGAGACAAGGTGCCTTCAATCACACGATAGGACCTGGTGATGAAATGTGTGGATCTTTCGATTATGTAAGGTGCTTGACTTTATGTGAGATCCAGAAAGAGTGAAACGCAATCAAAAATAGAATGTCCTAGATCTTGAGAACCCTAACGTCGTTGTCTATGCAAATTGAAAACCCGTATGGTTATAAAACGTGAACAGCAGAATGCCGTAAAAAGCAAATATTTGAGTTGCCTCGAGGTACTCTTCTAACACGAGGATAAATGTCGGAAACTTTATCGATTCGGTGACTTCGTTAGAAGCTCTCTTCTGGGTATCCAATCTTACACGCCCTCGTTAAAGAGTCGTATCGCGATGGCCTGGTGGCTTTTCATACAATCAATTTTCGACTCGACATTCTCGCGAATCCTCGTAATGCGAAAATCTTGGAAATTATCGAGTCATCTTTAAGGGATGGTAATGACGAGGGCCGTCGGGTAGTAAATGTCACGAGTAATATTCACGGTTACGTGGAAAATAAAAAGCGTGAGGAACGTCTGCTTCGGGGCGTTAATGGAAAGATGTTAGCACGGTCAATCGATGTTGATTTTGAGTGGTATGCATATTTATGGCACGGCCATAGCTGATTATATCGATCAGAGTATCCGTCTTCGGAAGTGACGGTTTTAACCGGTTTTCTTAATCACCTTTTTTAGCTCGTGCTATTCGCGTGTCAAGTTAGGTACACTTGAGGCAATTACCGAGTTTTAACTTCATTAAGCGTAGCGCCAGTGTAAACAGGTGCACTCCGCCGTATGACGCGCAATTAGATACTCGTAATCCTATTACGGCGTAAGGGACGATCACTTAACTGCCGTTCGAAAATAATGCCAATCGATTCAGGGGGAGGAAGGGATCTTTTATGCTGTAGTAAACGTTTATACGGTTTATTGAAAGTTCTTACGGTGGAGACAATCCGACGGCACGGTGGCGATTTGGTTGTCTCCAAAGGGATTCAAACAGCGTTGGAATTGTTGGTGGGAATATGAATATACTGTAATGCATTTATGACAAGTGAGGTAGTATCATCGTGATCTGTTATAATAGCCCTTAGAGATGGTATTCGACTTTATAAATTAAGTAGAGAAAGTAATTATAAATTGAGAACAAAGTATGCAGAAAAATAAAATATTTCACTAAATGAAAGAATTTAATAATGGATACATTAAAA